TATACACAGCCATGTTTTCTGTATGGAAGCTGAGAAATTCATATTGTCAAATGCTTTTCTTCTTTATATCATTCAGTCTTTGGCCAAATGTTACTTCCTCAGGGAAGCATACCATAACTGTCCTACCTACAATAGCACCCATACATACTACCTTGTTCCTGATTTCTTTTTTGTTGAAGCCTTTATCACCATTGAAATCATATTAATTTGTTTAAATGTGTCTTTCACACCAGAACACTCTATGCAATAGCAGGCTTCATTTCCCTTGGTTATTATTATCCCCTCCGCACTTAAAGATAATATTTTGCCCATTGGTTTTCAAATGAATAGATTAATATTCACTCCATTATAAGATGTCCACATCTTATAAGACTGAGCAAAATACAAAATGTTTACACAAACTTAAGTTGATATCTTAACAATAAATTAACAAATAAAATGGCAGTCAAGATTGTTTTCGTTCTCATGACCATCCAATTGGCTTCTGCTTGTATTTGGAGAAAAAGAGGGGAGGGGGGCTATCATAAAATCTGGGTCAAAAAGTAACTCATTTAAATGTACATTTGGTATGGTCTTTGCATTGAAAGAACTTTCAATTTCAAGTAAGATCTGAATAATAATGAAATACTACCTCATATCTACTAAGAAGGCTATTATTAAGAACAAAAACAAAATACCAAGAGTTGAGAAGGATGTGGAGATTGGAACCTTATTGACATTGCTAATGACAATGTAAAATGGTACAGCCATGGTAGAAAACAGTTTGGTGCTTCCTCAAAAACTTAAACATGGTATTATATATATGATCTAGTAAACCCATATATAGGTATATACACAAAAGAATTAAAAGCAGGCACTCAGATAGTTATACACCAATATTCATAACAGCATTTTGTCAATAGCCAAAAAGTAGAAACAATATAAATGATGACCAACAAATGAATGAACAAAATTGCTATATACATACAATGGAACATTACTCAGACATAAAAATAATAAATTTTTTATAAATGCTACAACATATAGAAAATATTAATGTTAATCAAAATAAGCTAGACACAAAAGGGCAAATATTGCATAATTCCACTCATTTAAGTTACACAGATTGAGTATATTCACAGAGATAGAAAGCAGAATAGAGATTATCAGGTACTAGGAAAAAGAGGAATTATTATTTAATGGGTATAGAGCTTATTTGGAGTGATTTCAAGGTCTAGAAATAGCGGTTACCAACACTGTAAATGTGCTAATGCCACTGAATTATAAACTTAAATGATAATTTTATGCTGTATATGTTTGTCACAATTTAAAAAATCATCAAAAGAAAAAGAAAATAGTAAATGGATATGCTAAAGTAAAAGAAAAAGACATACAAGTCTCACATTTTATATGTGGATTTTAAGAAAAGGTAAAACTATGGTGATAGAAGACAGGTCACTGGGATGGGTGTTACTCTGTTATGACATATACATACAGTGGCTTTTGAAGACACACAAAGGAAATTTTGATAGCTATGGAAATATTCTTTATTTTGATTGTGGTAGGGGTTATACAACCATACACATTTCAAACACATCAAATTATACTTAAACTTGATGAATTTCATAATATGTAAATTATGCTCTACTAAAGGTCATCTTAAAAATGAGAGACCTGAGATAGTCTAGACCTAAACATTTCTAATACAAAACAAAAATGCATTCTTGAGTGTCCAAGATTAAACAGAAAAATGACTAAAATTTAGTGCTATATATGAAATCTAAGATTCTTTACATCATATAAAATACTTCCATTTGTCAGTGGTGAGTGATGGTAGTAGACAGTCATATTTCAAATCTGTACCATATAACTGTCTACTACCATACAGATTTGAAATCCTTATTCTGGGAGTTTAAGAATTCATAAAGTTATACTGGAAGACTGTAATCAGAATATTTATCAATAGGTACTCATGGTACAGTCACTACTTTGTAAAGCAACTATTTCATTTGTCAAAATTCCAATGGATAAGATATTGTGTCTTGGGATCTTATATTCACTATGCCTTCTGAAGCCATATATAATTTTGCATAGATTTCTTTTAAAATACTGAAAAATGACTTATGTATAATGTTCTTCTAAAAACTTCTTTACTGAAGCCTAAAAAAAATCCAGGGCTCCCGCTGTCTTTCCTACACTAGCCACAAGAATAGTGTGTAAATGATCACATAAGTTTTGGTATTCAAACTAGATACAACACTACAAATCTTCTTCAAGCTACTTTGAATACTTAGGATTGTTTTGCTTCTAAGAAGACTGCACTTAGGATTTGAGTCTAAAGTCACAGCTACATTATATTATTACTGGTTCATTTCTGATTTCTTGTCAATTAAAATATCAACATCTTTGTTCCATAAGGCATTGGTAAAATACACCTTTGAATTTTAAACCTAATGGACAAGGCCATATATTTTGGGGAAACAATCTTTTATCTTCTCATTCTAAGTAGATATTAAACAGTTTTTGAATCTTGATTCATCATCTAACATATTAGTTCCATTTTTAAATAGTTCATGTATAAAAACTGCATGTGAAGATTTAAATACAAAATGCATCCTGTGTAAGTGTAAGACACAAAGACCTTTAAACATCAATAGTCTATTTCATTTGTTTATATGTGGTGCTGAGAATTGAACCCAGTCCCTCACACATGTGAGGTAATCGCTCTACCACTGAGCCCCAGCCCCAGCCCCAGCCCCAATAGTCTCTTAATATAATCCCCTATTAACACCAGCTACTTTTATTTTAATTTCTCTACCTTGACGGAAAACATAGTCATGAGGAAAGTCCATCAAATAACTTGTAAAACTGTATTTGTGATCCAGTTTTTATTTATTACAAGTATGATATTACTCTGTTATGACATGCGCATACAATGGCTTTTGAAGACAGATGTTCTAGAAATTTTTTCATGAAGCATCATCAAAGACCCTGGACATTTTTTTCAGATATTTAACCTTGATTATTTTCTGTAAGAAATGTATTTGTCCACCTTGATGCCTACAGTACCTTTTATTTTCTAAAACTCATTTAAAGATAATAATAACAGGGGCTGGGGTTGTGGGCTTAGTGGTGGAGCACTTGCCTAGCATGCATGAGGCACTGTGTTCAATTCCCAGCACCACATAAACAAACTAAATAAACAAAATAAAGGTACTGTGTCCATCTACAACTAAAAAAGACATTTTTAAAAAAGATAATCATTCCACAAGTCATTTTAATATCTAAAATATGCAACTTAAAAATTGGAAATTTAACAAGGCTATCACTATTTTTCATTTACTCTGCACATTACTGCTTTATACTTCCATTTTATAGTTTATTTCCATTTAATTATCCTCTCGGTGAGGGAAAAAATGAAAACAATCAAAATAGAAACCTAGTTCATCTTTATTTTGGCCCCACCAAGCAGGTCTATTTTGTCCTTCAAAAGGAATGCGAAGAGATTCCTTTCATTACACTTTATAAAAGTCTCATTACACTCTTGTAATTTTTGCTTGCTCAGTTAACTTTTTCATTATAAAACAACCTTATATTCTTTTTATACACATCTACCTATAAGGTTTCAATAACTGGAAACAAAGCAAAAAACTTAATTCATGATTCTAACATATTGAGACAGTAGTTTATGCTAAATACAAGCATAATACTTATCTTTCGGGGCTGGGGATATAGCTCAGTTGGTAGAGTGCTTGCCTTGCACGCACAAGGCCCTGGGTTCAATCCCCACCACCAAAGGAAAAAAAAATACTTATCTTTCCTTCTAAACAAATGATATTGTACTGACAATTCATGTCAGTTTAATTCCCAACATGATTCAACAATTCTAGTTTCATGCTTTGATATTACTGACATTTTATATGAAGGCAGAACAAATAGCTGAGTTCTAGTTTTCTGAGTTATTATTTTCTCACTCTCATTTTTATTAGCCATCTTCAATAACATAATAGAAGAAACATGTGTTTATGGCTCTTTTCAATTATCAATTTTTTTCTGACTTCTGTACCCAAATGAGGATGCTGTTTCTTCATTTTACTAAATAAAAGTAATGTCTAACTTTGTAGTCATTCCATTTGCCCTAGACTTGTAGAGTTCTAGTTTCTACTTGCCAAAAGAAAACTAAAATAAGAATATCTTTTCAAAGATAGAGAGTTGGCTTTTCTTTTGAATCTTCATATTTTTGATTAAGATAATCCTAATCTGAATCTTGGAATGAAAAATTGTTATCAAGAATCCTAGGTTAGTTAACATGAATTTTTTTTTTTTTAAATTTTAATATTTATTTATTCTTTTTTAGTTTTCGGCAGACACAACATCTTTCTTTGTATGTGGTGCTGAGGATCCAACCCGGGCCGCATGCATGCCAGGCGAGCGCGCTACCGCTTGAGCCACATCCCCAGCCCATAACATGAATTTTAAAGGGTTACTTTTTTTCATCTTCACTACTTTTCTCCGTTTGAAAACATTCAGGCATATACCTTAACTCATAATTCAATGTCTTGATGTAGGAAGTCCAGGCTACAGAATATCATAAAATCTAAACTAACACATTCTCAAAACTCAAAATAAGATAATTATATATATTCTGTATGTGACTAATACTACATTTGCTCAATGAATAAAATCTAGCTGCAGTCAGGATTACCTATGGTCAAACAGATTTATAAAACCTAAAAAGCAGATCTGAAATACACTGGTTATTTTTTATGATTTGAAATGTAAGGAAAAAAATTATTAACTATTTCTAACAAAACTGGAGGGAGGGGCTAGAACAAGGAGTCTTTAGGCCACAGTAAGACCCCAGATATTACAGAACATAAAATGGAATAATTTAAGACTTCAATTAAAGTTAAAAAAATTATTTAAAACAAGAGCACAGAAGTTGTGCTTCCAAAAAATTTTTTTTGGTTTAAAGGGAAAGGGATGAGAAAGGCGATACAAGGCACTACCAGACTCCTTACCCATTGTTGTTGGTGCTGGAGCTTCCTGATGGTATTTTCAGCTTGCTCCAGCTTAGCACTGGCCTCATCACTCTGCTGTTTGATGGTGGCCAACTCCCGTTTTATGAGGTAGTTTTCCTCAGCCTCCTGGGCTCTTGTCACTTGTCCCTTAGGACATAATTTTTTTGTGTGTAAAGCAATTTAGGACAGATTCAAGAAAGACTGCCTTTGTGAGGTTTAGTTATTTACTTTCACATGTTAAAAAAAGAATCACCTCAGAATAGAACAGCCTAGTTAATTATTAACTAGCAGCTTATTATTGCTCCAGAAAATTTTTGGAAACTAAATGAAAAATTAATTGACAATCTTAAGAACAATTCTTTCAGTCAATAAAAATTCATGCAATATTACTGAGTTGTACATGCAGGACTAAAATTTTCAACAAATAGCAGTTAATTTCAAAGAATCCACTGATTGCCATTTGTAATAAAGAATACTTTAAAAAATAAGGTTAGCTTTATAACGTGCAAAAGGTGCCTATTTGAGTGTACTAGATAAGTTATTAAAAATTAAATTTATACCCATATACCACCCAAAAAATTATTTCTAGGAAAATGCATGTAAAATTGCATGCATTAGAATATAAATTTCTGAGTTTAGGACTTTTCTTCGAAGTAGAGTTAGAGAAAATGCTTTAAAAAAAAAAAACAAAACACAAAAAAAAACTATACCTGTATCAATCTATCTGCCAAGGAAGCACTTTCCTACAAAAGGAAAAATTCAGATAGAAATATAAGAGAAAGAAAATAAAAGTGATAAAATTAGGAATAAGAAGAAACAAAGGTACTCAAATTCCAACTGCTTTTCATTGTTAATTAAAAAGGACACCTAAAAATTTAAAACTTTTTTTAACTGAATAAGTTTTTATTCTTAAAAATACATCAAAACAAAGACTACAAAAAACCATGTGTTTCCAAGAAGAAAATGAACACAAATTCCAAGTGGTTTTTCATTACTTGGGCAAGTAAATATCTTCTCTTGAAAGCTTACCTTTTTACATCTTTAATTTTAATCATATTATCAAACTACATATATGAAAGGGAGAAGGAATTTGAGTAAGCAATTCTACATATAAAGTGTGACAGCAATTCGAGCCATAGTAACATCCAAAGAAATAAAGTAAAGAAAATAAGACAAATGAAATCAATCAGCTCAATTTAATAAACACTAGTAATAATGAGCAAGTAAACTTTTTGGTTACAGAATTGAACTGATACGTAAGTATTTATAGAATTCTAAGTGTCGACACATCTAGGTCATTTAAGCCAGTAAAAAAGTTACTTAATTCTCTAGAAATAAAATCCAAACTTAATAATTTCCTACAGCATCTTTATCACTTTTAAACGGTTTAACAAGATAAGAACACTTTCTCTGAAAATGACTGACTACAAAGACAAAAATTCACCTAGAAAATTGTCTTACTCTAAGCCAGGTTTAGGGAATGGGGGAGGAGGAAAAAAACAATTGAGTTCAACATTCATGTGGCATCACCAAAAAGTAGAAATAGCCTCAAAGCAACTCTAATACAATGAGAGACATACAGAGAAGCTATATTTTACTTAACATACAGTATCTGCAATTATTATACAATAGACAGACATGTAATAAACTTCCTATCCTTGTAAACTGATATTTAATATGAAATCATCTTTTCTTTAAAAACGAAAGACAGGGGATGGGGTTGTAGCTCAGTGGTAGAGCACTCACCTAGCAAGTGCGAGGCCCTGTGTTCCATCCTCAGCATCACATCAAAATAAATAAATAAAATAAAGGTTTTGGTAGAGAGAGAAGAGGGGAGGGGAGGGGGGATAGTAGAGGATAGGAAAGGCAGCAGAATACAACAGACACTAGTATGGCAATATGTAAATCAATGGATGTGTAACTGATGTGATTCTGCAATCTGTATACGGGGTAAAAATGGGAGTTCATAACCCACTTGAATCAAAGTGTGAAATATGATATATCAAGAACTATGTAATGTTTTGAACAACCAACAATAAAAATTTTTTAAAAAATAAAGGTTTTTTTAAAAAAGAATTAAAAAAAAAACGAAAGGGGGCTGGGGCTAGGGCTCAGTGGTAGAGCACTCGCCTAGCATGTGCAAGGCACTGGGTTCGATCCTCAGCACCACATAAAAATAAATTTTAAAAAATAAAGGTATTGTGTCCAACTACTATATATATAACGACTGAGGTGGTCACTCAGTGGTAGAGCGCTTGCTTAGCACGTGTGAGGCACGGGATTCAATCCTCAGCACCACATAATAAATAAATAAATAAATAAATAAATAAAGGTCTTGTGTCCATCTACAACCAAAAAAAAACTTTAAAAACAAGAAAGAAAGAGAGAGAGAGAGAGAAATAAAGAAAGAAAGACAAACACTGCAAATTATCCCTTTCCTAGTTTTTTATTTCTTAGATATTTATCTATAAACTTTCAGGAAGACTTCAAAGATACTTGACAATATAATAAGGAATATTTTTAAACCTAGTTACTCTTGCCTCTAATTTTTAAAGGGAGCAACAAAAAAAAATCTGTGAATTCAAATGGTGTTTTTCTTTTAATAAAGCAAAATTCCTACACTATGCTTTGATTACTCCATTCATTCTTACAGTATCAGAAACACAACTACAAAAGGTTCATCAAAAGCACAATACAAAAATTATGCAAAATTTCCACATTTGCCAATTATTATGAAACAGAGAAGAGGCAATGAGTAGATATTAAAATAATTTTAACTAAAGTTTACACACAACTCTCTTTTACTGAAAATCAATATCAGAGTGAATTTTTATATAAAGAATACAAAGGGATAAGAATTTTAATCATTTTGACTAAATGTAAAAGTAATGTAAATGTAAAGTAATTCTAGACCTTAAATGAATTATTGCCTCACTTGACAGTCCATGAGGAAGCCAGGACAACATGTGAATCATCTGAGGATAGGAAAGGTAGCAGAATACAACAGTCACTAATATGGCATTATGTAAAAATGTGGATGTGTAACCGATGTGATTCTGCAATCTGTATTTGGGGTAAAAATGGGAGTTCATAACCCACTTGAATCTAATGTATGAAATATGATATGTCAAGAGCTCTGTAATGTTTTGAACAATCAATAATAAAAAAAAAAACATTTGAATCATCTTTAAAAAGTTGTTATCAGAATCAATTCCCAATTAGATTCTAGAAGAACGTATTTTTTAGAGGTTACACAGAAAGAAAACAAATGACATCAATATTAATCCAATAATTACCCAAGTTAAAACCTTAATATGAAAGGTCAGGAACTTGTACCCATCAATTTTTATTAATAACTAGCTATGCGGCTAAACAGTAAGCTAGGCAAGTTAACAGTCAATAACACAACTTAAGAGATACATGTGCCAAATTTTTTGAGAATTTCTTAAATATATGGAAAAATCCTAAAAGCATTCAACAGAAATTCATAATAGTTACTTACTTTTTCTAACGTTTCAATGCGCTGTTTTAAAAGTCTATTTTCTGTGCGTAACCTCTGCCAAAAAAGAAAAAAACAAAATTTTGCTTGAAAGCATTCTGGAGAGTAAACAAAATTCCTAAATCAAGTCCTGAAAACATGCCATCTTTTATAAATAAAAAGAGTATAAGAAATGGTTACATTACCAGATGTCAGACCATTAAAGGCTCCCACTAAGAAATCTATGACAAAGGAATAATTGTATTTTTCATTCCAGCTATACACTAAAGTATATAAATAATCCTTCTCTTTTCTATATTTAAAAGGACAAAGATAAATGTTTTAAATTACCCATTAGATGGAAAAATTTGTAACCTGCCTATCTCCTACAAAGCCTATTCACATAATTAGTATTTAAATGTCAGTTGAATTAATAAAAAACTTCAAATATGCATATTCATACAATAGCAAACTATCATTTTAGATTAGACAAGTCTTCATTTATATTATAGATACAAGTTGCAAAATTCCTTACATTTGAAATTATAAGACAATTTATCATGAGTTATCATCTACTTAAAAAAATTAGAAGCTCCAATTACAAGTACTGTTTCTACATTTAAGAAAAACCAGATTTAAAAAAAACAAAAACTTGGGCTGGGGATTTTAGCTCAGTTGGTAGAGTGCTTGCCTCGCATGCACAAGACCCTGGGTTCAATCCCCTGTACCAAAGGGAAAAAGAAAAAAAAAGGGAAGAAAAAAAGAAAAAAAACTTTATTTAATTGTTCAATGCTTGATTACCTAAAACTTGTCAAAATTAATTTCAGGTATTAAATACAAATCACCCTACATTTAAAAAAATCATCTTTTTGTATATTCTACCAATATAATTTCTTATAAGTTCCCTATAAAAATTATTCCTTCAATTTTCAATTCTCTTTATGTTATCCTTTCATTTTGCCATCCCTGAATTTTCAAACCCCACTTACTTTCTATATCAATTTGTTCCAAAGCTCAATCCTATTTCTCAACTCTAATTTTTTCTAAAACTTCTTCCTTGGAAAATCATTTCAACAATTGAATATTCCATTTTGCCAGTAAAGACTTAAATACAATTTGTATAACAAATGGAGTCTTATTTCAGGAAATAAGAGACTATAAATTTTTATATCTTAAATAGATCACAAATTGGAATATTACAAAGATACTTTGCAAATTGTATTTTCTTGTTCTATATACTAAAACATATCTACATAATTTGAAATGGACATAATGTATGACCTCAGAATATAAAATAACAGCTAGAGAAGTAAAATTGTCCCAGATTTCCTGGTTGTTCCTTCCATGTGTAGCATAGTAGATTACATAAATCAGCCAATTATTATTATTAATACTAGAGTTTCTGTTTTGTTTTTGATACTGAGGATTAAACCCAGAGGCTCTCTATCATCCAAGCCACACCCCCAACTCTTTTTATTTTTTTGAAACAGGATCTCACTAAGTTACAGAAGCTGGCCTCAAATTTGTGATCTTCCTGCCTTAATCTCCCAACTCTCTGACACAACAGGCAAGTCTCTGGGACTACAGTTGTGCACCACCATGCCTGGATATTTAAAAAGCCATTTGAAACCAAACAAGATTCTCATAAGGTTCAACAAAAGGTTCCCAAAAGGTTCAACAAAAGGAAACATTTTGTTTCTCCTGAAAGACTTAACTTTAAGTTTCAACTAGACAACTAAGTAAATAGTTATTTATGACAGAAGTGATAAAAATAAATTTTTTAAACTTTTTTTTTAGTTGTAGAGGGACACATGCTATCTTTGTTTATTAATTTATTTTTTATGTCGTGCTGAGGATCTAACCAGTGCCTCAAACATGCTAGGCAAGCACTCTGTCACTGAGCTATAGCCCCAGCCCCTAAAATAAAATTTAAAGATTAAAATATTCACGGGAATTTCCTTCCCCCACCTCCTTTAAATGTTCTGAAATCTATTTTACTATAAATTAAAATCTAATTTAAACCTAACCAAAAGTTTTAAAATCACTTTTTCTTATTTAATGTTTTGACTGATTGATTGTAGTGCTAAAGTTTGAACCAGGGCCTCATGCATACTATGTGAGCACTTTTCACTGAGCTATAATCCCCAACTTCTAAAACCACTTTTAAATAAATCATTGCATCCCCTTTTGTGTGACATATACTCCATGAGGCATGAGTATTATTTTAGTTCTTTTATCTCTTTTTTAACAGTTTTTCTTTGGGTGTCTCTTTTTATTGCTATGAAACTTTACAAGGAATTAAATTCAACTAGATTTGTTAAATATGCATTTTGTTGAGAAAAAAAATCACATCTTTAAATAAAATTATTTTTGTCTCTCTATTCATCTTTTAAAAAAGTCTATGTGTAGGGCTGGGGCTGGGGGTCAGTGGGAGAGCACTTGCCTCACACATGTGAAGCAGTGGGTTCGATCCTTAGCACCAAGTAAAAAATAAATGAATTAATAAAGATATTGAGTCCATCTACAGCTAAAAAAGTTTTTAAAAAACGTCTATGTGTAAAGTTTTTAAAGTTTCTTAGGGTGTATCATATTTTTCATTTAGGTTATACCTAGATATGCTATCTATTTCTATTTTAAATGGGACTTCTATTTCCAGTGTATTTTTGAACCATTTATTGCAGATATATAGTAAGCTAGTAAGTAAATCTACTTGATTGAGTTATTATTAATCTTTGCCACACTTTTCTAGAATAGAGTGTTTTGTAAGATTTAAAATGAAAACTATTAAAAGATCACTAGATATGCCTATATAAAAATACACATCTTGTACTTGAAGCAAAAAGCTTTTTTGACTTAGCAAACTAGAAAAGAAAAAAATGAGACTAAGAGTAAGAACAAGAATTAATATTACTAAAGTGGTAGTGAGGGCTGGAGATGTGGCTCAAGCGGTAACGCGCTCGCCTGGCATGCGCGGGGCGCTGGGTTCGATCTTCAGCACCACATAAAATAAAATAAAGATGTTAAAAAAAAAAAAAAAAGTAATAGTGAAATGGAAACTCAATGCTGAAAACAACACACCCCAGGAACATTCTTTAGGAAATTTACTTAGTACACATAAAAAGTCTTAAAAATACTAGTATCCCATAATTCAATAATACTAATTTTGACAATTAGCTATAAAAAAAATAAGGAGTCAAAAAAACTTTATATACAAAGATGTATGGGTATTATTTTTGATAATGAATAGTGAAAAATAACCTAAATATCTCCAAACACAGGAATCTCAGTTTCAAATAACCTACTCTTTTTCTTGGGAGGTGGCAGGGGAGGGTAACAGGAATTGAACTCAAGGGTACTCAACCACTGAGCCACATCCCATGCCCTGTTTTGTATTTTATTTAGAGACAGGGACTCACTGAGTTGCTTAGAGCCTCGCTTTTGCTGAGGTTGGCTTTGAACTCGCAATCCTCCTGCCTCAGCCTCCTGAGCTGCTTCAAACAACTCACTCTTTTAAGATCATCTCCCATTCTTTCCAGCTTCTTCACATTATAAAGTAACTCAATTCCAATAATTCTCCTTTTCATTAGAACAATCCTGTGATCCTGACATTGTTTTATTGTCACTTAATCCCTGATGTCTTCTCTTCCCTCTAAACAAAACGTCACTTCCAATCATTATACATACTTCCTTGCTCCTCTCCCCCTTAGCTGTACATCTGTCCAATGAAGCCACTATTGTGGATTAACTCTGAAAACACTATCTGTGTATCTATAGTGGCATGTCTAACCACAGGGAAAAAAAACAGGATGTTTACTTAAATTAGCAATCATAAAATTCAGAAATTTCCTTGTTGCATCCTTCTCACACCCTCCCAGATTACTATTTTATACTTATTCCTCTTCCTTTAAACCAGCAACACTCAAACCCACTGCCACTCAGCTTGATAATCTTCTGATTTCACTGAAAAAACTGAAACAATCAGAAGATAATTTCACCCTAAATCTTATCTACATTTTTGCCCACATTTTGGTGTAGGTTCCTATTATTGTAGATTAATTATCTCTTCTAGTATACCAAGTTCACTTCCTACCTGTGCACTCAATCTCATAACCTTGACTCCAGCAATTCCCACTGTTCATTCATAACCTTTAATTTTTCCTACTTAATTGTCATCATAAGAGCATGTAGCTCTTTTTCCCATTTAAAAAACAAAACAAATATCACAACTTTATCTGGCTACTGTTCCATTTCTCTCTTCTTGATAGCAAATTCCTTGAAAAATATCCCTGATTTTTCTACTTCTATTCCAGTCAGGTTTTAGTGCCCACCACTTCTCTGCTCTTTTCCAATTTATTGCCAGGCTGTTAAACCCAATGGTCATCTCCATTCTCATCTCCAAACTATTTTTAGCATTTAACACAGTTAATCTTCTCTTCCTGAAAGCTTCTAGGTCTTTACATTTACCCGATTTTCTCCTACTTTGCAACTTTCAAGGCTTTCAACTTTATTGGCTTACCTGGGGCTCAATTCTTGAACTCTCCTCTATTTTATCCACACTCACTTGACAAGTAAACTCACCCATTCTCAATGCTCTGAATACATCATCCAGCCAATAATTGCCCAATTTATGTTTTGAGGCTGTCTTCATTTCAGATCTATTTGGCTACTTGGACATTTCCTAGGCATCTTATTCCTAAAATATCCAAAGCTGGACTGCTGGCATTCGCACTAAACCAGATCCTATTACAATGCTCCCCATCTTGGGTAGCAAGGTTTCTAATTGCTCAGGCCAAAAAAAAAAAAAAAAAAAATTGATTACTTTCTCTCTCACATCTCTACATTCAATCTGTCAGCTTTATCTTTAAAATCTATTCATAATCCAACTACTTCTTAACACTTCAATCTAAGCTACCATCATCTTTTTAAAAAATATACATTTTTTTTTTAATCTGGTGCTGAAGACTGAACCCAGTGCCTCACACATAGGCAAGTGCTCTATCACTGAGCTACAAACCCAGCCCCATCATCATCTTTTGCCTGCCTCATCTCACCAGCCTTCTAGTTAATCTCTCTGCTTC